TTCCTGTTGCGTAATGTGACTCTCCCAGAGCCATCAACTCGAATGACGTTTGGTCATATTGCCGAACCTCGACCACCACCCTGGTTTTGTCCCACTTGAGTCGATGCAGCCTTGTCTGATTTTGAATGCGGACGTGGTCACCAACGGCAAGGGGCAGGAGTCGTTTAGTATGTTCAGACCAACGTTCCGCATCCCTCATGTGGCGGTTGCGAAGTGCATCTTCCCGAGCTGCCAGGGTCTCATGCCATGTGTTGTGCGGGTTGTATTTGCCGGGAGCAATGGGTATGAAGTCTTGAATCGGGCGGCCAAAGACACACATGGCTGGAGAGAGCTTGGTGTCCCTGTCAGGAGTGTTCTTGTACTGAAGCATAGCACGCTGGAAGGCATCAGTGTCTAGGGTACCCGTGGGGCTGGTGAGACGTTTGACGGATTTGACAGCGACCTCAGCGCGGCAGTTGCTATGTGGATAAGCAACGGAGGAGAGTCTATAATGAATGCCCCAGTCCTGGAGGAAGCGGCGTGTAGTGACTGCCGTGAATTCCGGGCCACCATCCGATGCAAGTTCATCCGGGATTCCGAAGGTGACGAATGTCCGACGTAGGCATGAGATGAGTCCAGTTGCCCCCTGAGTGGACCTCTCAACAATGGGCCAGTTTGAGTAGCGGTCCACTACAACCAAGTAGTTGCAGCCCTTGTAGTGGAAGAAATCTGCACAGACACATTGGAAAGGGTAGACTGGAGGCAGCAACGGGGTTGGTGGTGCGCTCGGGTTGGAGGGTGCAATCCGATTGCATTGGTTGCACCGTGCACGGAGAGCCGCAATAGCAGGAGAGATGCCTGGCCAAAAGATTGAGGACTCTGCCCTGGCAGTCATAAAGGTGACTCCTTGGTGCGCAGCATGGAGATAGACTTTCTCCCGGAGAGATGGCGGAATAACAAGACGGTCCTTGTAGAGGATGACCCCGCCGACTGCAGAGAGCTCGTCACGGAATTGGAAGTATTCACGTAGGGGTGGAGGGAGTTCATGGCGGAACTCTGGCATGCCAGCTTTGATAGTGTCAACCAGTGCCTGCATGTTGTCATCACTAGCTGTGGCAGTACGGACTCTGTCCCATGTGACTGACTTCAGATGGAGAGACTCCAGGGCACACATAGCAGAGGAGAGTGTGCAAACTTCGATGGTGTCGTGCGGGGCCAGCGTGCGGAGGCCCGCCATGAGCGATGTGGAGTGCAGGAACGTGGCAGGTATCAAAGAGATCGTCGCGATGTCATCGGGAAGGTACAACGTCTCAGGCGCACCAGTCGGGTGTCGAGAGAGGCAGTCTGTAGCACGGTGTCTGACGCCTGGGACATGGACCATACGGAACTTGTAGCACAGGGTTTTCTCCTTCAAGTTCCTCAGGCGGGGGTTAGGGATGTCCTGTAGGGCATGGTCAGCGAAGATCTTGAGGAGGGGCTTGTGGTCGACTGATATGATGAGGTCCTCGCACCCCAAGACGGAATACCTTGCCTTGTCTAGGGAGTCGGCTATTGCAAGTGCTTCACCTTAGCGTGTCTCAGCAGCATGGGTGAACCTGCTGCCAACGAGAATTATCTTCCAGCCTGAGTTGCAGCAGAAAGGTTCATAATTTTTGCAGCCACAGTGTTTCTGCAGGAGCCAGAAGACGATGCCATTCTTGGACCAGTCTGTTGCAAGGCAAGTGGGTTTGCTGGGATCGAAGATTCTTACGCCTTCTTCTATCTCATTAGCAATAACAGCTTTGGACTCGTCGAAAGCGCGCTGGAGGGCATTGGTCCATAGAAACGGTATGCTGGGCTTCAGGAGCTCGCGGAATGGTAGCACCTTCTCAGTCATGCTGAAGGCGTAGGCGACTTGATTGACCAGTTCGAACCATGAGCGGACATCTGTGACGTTGGTGGGCGTTGGGAAGTCAAGGATCGCCTTTAAGTACTTCTCGCATGGGCGGACGCTGTCTGGGGTAATCTCAAAACCAGCAAATTCCACAACATCTGCACCAAACATGAACTTTCTGGGGTTGAGGGTGATCCCGTTGCGGCTGCAGATATCTAGCCATTCAACAGCGTGGAAGAAACTGTCTTCTAACGTGTCAGCCCACAGGAGGACGTCGTCAACACATTTTGTCTTGTTCTGGACACCCGAGACAATCTCGTCATATCGCCTGGTGTATCTATCACCAGAGGCAATGTACCCCTGAGGGGCTGTCTTGTATCGGTACCTGCCCCATGGAGTGATAAAGGTGGTGAGGTGTCTGTCCTCTGGGCATATGGGTACGCTATGGTATCCGTTCCATGCGTCGAGTACTGTCTTTTTCTTCCCGTGAGGAACGGAACGGGCCTGAATGAAGGGTGATGGCGTGTGGTGTGTCTCGCGGGTAGCGTGCACATTGAGGGCCTAGAAATCAACCGTCCGACGTGGTTTACCGTCCTTCTTTGCACACACCACCATCCTGTGGCACCAGGTAACAGGCTCCCCGATGGGTACCGGTTCGAGCACACCCAACTAAACATCACTATCTAAACCAGCCTTGACGGCATCTCGCCAGTGGAGTGGGACAGGCACTGGTGTGTGATGTGCGACTGGCTCTGCGTCAGGGTCCACCATCAATTTCATAGGGGGGCTGTCCATTAGTGGCAAGGGCCGATGCTCACACGTATTAAATGTGCTTGATTTGTAGTAGTCAAGTAGATACTGTTGCAGCTTCACACGGTTCGCCTCAGTCGCAGGGAATGGCAGTTTAGTAGGGGGTGGTGGGGGCTGTTGACGCCGAGGGCAGGTACAGGCTGTTCCATCAGAGGCCTCCTTGAGGGTGGCTGCCGTGTCCGGTTAGTGTGCTCCTTGTGTCATGCCGAGCGTGGGGAAGCCTTGATGATCCCCAATTCGATGCAGGCCTCTTTGCTGAGGAAGAGCTTATCGGAGGTGTCTGTGATGTAGGTCAGTTACCGTGACTCGACAACATGACCGAGGGGATCTTTGCCAAATAAGCGGAGAGGGGCGGCTCCAAGGATCGTGATGCCTCCATTAGTCGCAGTGTGCATCTCCATGGTGACTGGGATGAGGTCTTGAAGGCGTAATCGAAGGCGATGGACGACCTTTAAACCAGCAAGGCAGCTTTGGCATCAAGTGTCTGTCATGGCTGGTATAGAGCAGGTCTTCGAAGGGGATGAGAGGCCGAAACGAAGGGCTTCATAGTCATCAGGAACAGCTTTTACCGTCTCATCAAGGAATGGCTGAGGTGTCGATCTTTTCCTGTGCCATGCTTTGGAAAGGTTATCACACACTTGGTGGGCGATGGGGAGGCCATGTAGTTGCCCTAAGTCACGGATGGTACAGAGGGTGTCGAAGATAGCACCCTCGTGCTCGCCAGGGACGGCTGACTGTTGGTGTCGTGGCCTGCCCTTGCTGCGGCAGACATTTTCCATATGATGGAGCTTGTCACAGTGTCTACATATCTGTCCATAGGCTGTACAATGCGTCTTGCGGATATGAGCTGGGGCGCTCCGTCCGTGCCCCTTCTTACCGCAGTAGGCGCACACTTCCTGCTTCTCTTTGAGATGTGTCTGTCTGGTTTTCCGATAGGAGCTGCTGGCTGTTTCCACCGCGTGTGAGTCCAGGAGGGAGGAGGAGGAGCGTTTCCCGGCCTCTTTTGCCTCAATGAACTGGAAGACATCTTCCAACCCCATGTCCTGGTTCTTGTCTCCTAAAAGATCAAGCTGGATTTCAGAGTCAGCAATTTCCCTGGTAAGCACATCCCGCATTATTGCGTCGGTGTAGTTGACATCAGCAGCGCAGGCAGGGCATTCAATGATGAATTTGCAGATGTCTGCTTGACCCCGCAGACAGGCTCCGAAGCTGCGAACTGTCTCATCTCTGTCTGGACGCATGTTGTGGAGTGTCACCCGAGCAACTATTGTGTTCTCCTTGCGCACGGCGAGCTTTTTGATGGATGACAGTACCTCATCCTTAGTTTTGTTGGTGAGGCTGCTGCTTGAGGCTGCCACCAGCAGCTCTTGTGAGATCCTTGCGTAGAGGTTCATCGCAGCATTCCAGGAGCTGTGCAACCTTGTCCTTCCCGGTGATCTTGGTGGCATCAGCGTAGTCAGACCACCGTGACTTGAAGTACGCCCATTCCTCGCTAGTGCCAGCAGCAGCAATCGTTGGTCTCTTGACCTTCTCGACCTTGGCAGCTTGTCCATAGGTGTGAATTGCGCTGTGGGCAGTGAGGAGTGCGGCCACGATAGCAGCGTCGAAGTCTGGCGTCTTGTAGTCGCAGCCGGGGATTGGGCAGTTAACAGCAGACATCTTGGTAGGTCTACCGTGATCATAAATAAGAACCCTGTCTCTTTGTTAAGTCCGCTGTCTTGGTATTAGTTGCGGTCAACAATGATCACGGTCTGCATGGAACAAAAGAATGGGTACATAGTATTAGTTACAATCATCTAATCAGTAACAAAAGTGGGCCTAGTGTTGATCCGTGTGGAACACCGCATATCCCTTTAAACATAAATGAGCGGGCGTCTTATTAGTAATATACCATTTAAAATTGTCTAGAGCTGAGCCCCTTATTTCGTATAGTCTTCGAATTTATATAAAAGTATCTCATGCTGAATAGTATCACTTGCCTTTGAAAGATCAAGAAATATCCCATAAGTAATTTTGCCGACATTTAAAGATTCAAGAAGAGTATCGTGGATTTCAGAAATTGCCAAGACTGTAGAATGATTTTTTTCTAAACCCAAACTGATTTTGTGAAAGTATATTACATTTGGTTTGGAACTTATCAAACCTATTATATAGAGGCATTTCTCAAGAATTTTCGAGAATGGAGAGAAAAGGGAAATAGGTATGTAATTTAAATGGATATTAACTGAGTCAGATTTGTAAATAGGTATAATTTTAGCTCGTTTAAGGCAATTGGGAAAAACTCCAGTAATCAGTTAAACATTCAGCAAGTGCGTACATATACGGTTTCAGACATTCGTTAATTCCTCCTATCTGCTTCCCCAAGGCACAATGTGTGGAAGAATGGTTTAATATACATCTTCTGGACGTGTCCATCTACGGCATATGTGGCGTTAAGTTGATACTGTAAAGGTAAACATATATATAATTATAATATAAATTAGGGTTATGTATAAACGCAAGAGTGAGGCGAATGGCAAGTATGCCGATAACAAGGTGTGCGTCGAAACTCGATCTCACGGGTGTGTTTCTTCGCATAAACCACTTCTCTTTCTGCAAGCGCTCGGCCTAGCCATACTGTACTACTACGTCACTACTACGTTACTACGTACTAAGTCTATCCATTTCCTACGAAAGCTTTCGTTGCTCGTTTCATTCTATTATACCAATGATACACTCGTAAGCGCTCTACTTTCTTGTTCTGCGCGCACTCGTAGTTTGCACACATACCTTGTGAAAATGACAAGCGCAGAATCCGCCCTCGTTAAAACCTTGGAACATGGGCATCGTAATATTGATTGGGTTAACAAGCTTTACGTTTTGAGACCTCTGTTTCTCCGACTCGATCATATGGGCGACGGCTAGATTTCTTTTCAGATGTTGTACTGGATCCCACTGAAATATAAGCAATATTCCACTCAAAACGCCGAAAATACATTTCAACACTGTATTAACCTCGTTATCGCCTTAGATAAATTGCATTGCATCGTAACTGTTAACTCAGACTAGTTTAGCAAGGTAAAGAAAGAAAACAGGACTACATTATTTTTCAGTTCATCCTTTTAAAACTCAACATGTTGCATAAATATAAACGCAAGAAAAAGAAAATCAAAGAAAACAACATCAACAGTAAAATGAGAACGTTGGGTTTTAGAAATTAGGAACTGCAAAAATTACAAAGTTTTCATGATTTTATAGTTACACATATGGTCATTTTTTACTACTAATAACTAACAATAAAATAGCGACCACGATATATAAACCAAAACGGCACCACAGGTGTCTTTATCTGAGGGTGATGCAGAGCAGCATTGTCCATTTTTATCACAACAGTAACATTTGTCAATCCAGCACTGAAATACACACATACATACACATTAACACACTCGGTAGTTATGTTCAATCCTTCATATTACTGTTAAAAAGTCACTTACAGATTTTGATTCACCCCTAAGCAAATTTCCAAAAACAAGTTCTCCGCCTAGATTTCCATCTGAATTTACTAAGCATTTAAATAGACCTACTTGTCTAACCTGTCCATGAACCATTTATATATTGCAGGTTGCATCCAGTATGAGCCACCTAATGCGAAAATAGTATTCTTCGTATTTTCTATCTTTCCGGCTCTGTGGAATGTTACAGGGGAACCTTAGAAGATGTTTTTATACACGCGCGTTTTGAAATGATCAACACACAAACATAATCAACACGATCGTATTGTACTTGGTAGACGTATTCGACATAT